GGACAAAACCAAAGCCAATTTCTAAAAAAAAAAAAAAAAAAAAAAAAAAAAAGGCCAGCTGACATTGCCGGCTTACAGCTCCAAACAAATTATTATACCGATGTGTCTGCCTGACAGCAGCCAGAGCTTGATGTTGCAGTCATCACTGGCAGTCACAATCAGCCGGAGCCTTTCCACATACACAATGTGGGATATGTTCTTCAAGTGACCTCTCCAAGAGCTTAGAAGGTCTGGAGCTACCAGGGAAGTAACCCAGCCGTCCAGGACCTGCAGAGCAATGAAGTAACCTTTGTTTGCAAAGATGCTCCTCCTGGGACAGGTCAGCAGCTTAATTTAGGAAGTTTCATATCACTAGAAATTAATGCCAAAGGTTAAACTATTTCTATGGCACCTATCACCATGGCATTTAAATACTGTGAGAACATAAAACTACCAAGAACTGGGGTTTTCATGCCTACAGGTTTGTTGGCAGCAATTGTAACAGCGGGAATCTAGTAGATTTTGATAGTTCCTGGGATGTCCTTGACTCTAACACGTAACTATCTTGATGGCAGTACAGCTTAATTGGCAATAGCCTTGCTTTTGTATACCAGTTGCACTGGGACTCTCCAAATGGATTCCACTTACTATAACAGCGGGGAGTTTATGAAGCCAGAGTTAAGATCCTATTTGACTCTCTATCTTTTTTAAAATAAAGAAACACATTTTAGCTTCGTCTCTTCAACTTGCTATGAAATTCTTTTTCTGAGCTAGGAAAGGCTGAAGAACTTGTCCCGCTTATACATGTGGGCAGTGTCTGGAAAGAGAAATAACCCCGACATTGCATATAAAATTATTCAGTATCTCAGCAGATCCACAGATACCTACTTAGAAATGGCTGAACCGGTCCTGACAGATAGCTTAGCTAAGCCATCCAAGTATTTCAAGATACGTTCACACATTTCCAATAAGCTTCTAAAAATGCACCTGTTTTCAGGCACCGTTTCCAAAGCAGTGAACTGATGTAGAAGCACAGGTCCACAAGATTTATGCTTCTAAATCATACAGGTACTTTAGAAAGCCCCAGCAACACCTACATGTGGATAGATATGCAAGGGTTTACCCACAACAAAACTGGTAAGCGTACATAGATATATAAAATGTAGTGCCGTGTAGGCATTACCCATGCTAGCTCGACTATTAGAAACAGCATGCATGTGTTAGCATGGTGCTCTGCCCAAGCTCATATGCCTCATTTCTCACTGAGCCTTGCAGGGATGCTCTACATGAAAATACTGAAGGGACATTGTAGAGACCCACTGAATGCAATTAAAAGCTTTGGAGAAGAAGATTAAGCTTTGCATTGCCCGTTTCACTGATTCCACCTAGCAAAAAGGCAGCGACCCTTTCTTTCAGACTGATCTGGCCACCATTATCCAGGTCTTCATCACCTCAAAGCTTGACTACTGCAACGTGCTGTATACGAGGCTACCCTTGAAAACTATCTGGAGGCTGCTGCCTGCCTGCTAACAGGGTTGGGTCATCAGCAGGGATCCTGGTTCTCTCTGATTTAAAAAAATCCTGTTTTTGGTTAAAAAGTAACCCCAAATCAGAGAAAGCCAGGAACCCTGGTCATCAGGAGCACATCACTCCAGTCCTCCAATGTCTGCAATGGCTTCCAGTAGCTTTCTGGGCACAATTCAAGGTGCTGGTTTTGATGTATAAAGCCTGAACAGCCAGGGCATGATATAGCTAAGGGACCACCTTTTCCCCATTATATTCCTGATGTCAGCTGAGGGCAGCTTTCACCGAGTACTATCAATACACCAGGTCTGCTCGGCAAAATGTGGAGGAGGGCCGTCTCAGCTCTGAAACTCCTCTCTCTTCAGGCCAGCCAGAGCATGAACCTGGACATCTTTCAGAAGTGGTGTAAGTCCTTCCTACTTGAAAGGACCATAGCTAAGCTGAGACATTGTTTAGCGACTCTCCACTTCGCCGTCCTGTTTGATTTGTGCTAGTTGCCCTTTTAAAGTTCTGCTTCTCTGATTGTGAGCCCTAAGCCTTGGGATGGGAGGGCTGGCATATAAATTATATTAATTAATTAATTATGTAAGCTGCTTCCCAGAGCAGCCATGCTACTACCTCCGTAGTTTCCATCAATGGTGGACTTTGTCTGGCAGGAGCTCTGCAGTACCGTGGGATTAAGACTCGAAACTCATTCTTCACTTTAGGAGATGCCTCCGTCTTTCCCACTTCGGAGACTCTCTTTACCACTTTTGGTTTGCAGTAATGCTCGATGTCCCAGACCTAGAAAGAGAGAGAGAGAGAGACTGTGTTAGTAACTTCTTGATTTCCATTGAAAACAGCTTACCCTGTTGCATGCTGCTATCAGGATGGTGTGGAAGCAACCAGGCATCTGTTCCCATTCACACTCAGAAAACATGGCACGTAACTGCCAGGAGATCAAAGATATTCCCCGTTTCTCTGCAGCTGTGGTTTGAAATGTACTGGTCTGAAATTCAGACCTCCTGTTTCCTCACACAGCTGATTACTTCCACAGCCTTTTGCATGGAACAGGCTGGTTGATGCACTTGGAAGCGCACACAAGTTACATGCCCAGGGATTTTACTTCTCATTTCTGAACCAGGCTCCCTAGTGGGTATGTCCGTGCAGCAGACTGCCCGGCAGGGCAGGGTTACCAGTGCTCAGCCAAGTCCACCAGAAGCAACCTAGCAGCAGCAACCTGGACTCCACGTGAGCTAATTCACTCTGCTCCTGGGGAAGGCGGCTTCAGTCGTCTCCGCAGGACATGTCAGCCCATGCAGAGCTCTGTGCTGCCATAGCCAAGTTGCTCCGTGTGCCTGAGTGAGTTCGTTTAGAGCTGGGTCAGCGATGCCTAAACAACATGCACAGACCTACCCAGGGAGCTTCTCCCAGACATCAAGCAGCACTCACTTTAATGTAGCCGAGGGAATCACCAGTCAACAGGATCCAGTCGTTCGAGTCTGTGGCCATGGCGTTGACTACAGCGTTCTCATCCCTAGGCACTGGCCGGAACTTGCCCAGCAGACCCCCCTTCCCACCGACTGACCAAGCATAGACGTAGCCATCTGCAGAGCTGGTAAGCAGAATGGCCGTGTCAGGGTTTCGCTCCCGGGTCTGCAGGAAAAGCACCTACAAAAGAGAAGGCAGGATCACTGGGTGCCCCCAACCACTCCGGGTAGGACTGAGCAAGGGGAATGCCTCTGACCTTTTGCACAGCAGCTGAGGAGCCCTTCAGCTCCGTCCAGCAGTTCAACTTATTCTTCCTTTGTTTACCAGCTCCAGCAGCTCTTGGCTCTCTGCCCACCTCAGCACCCTCACCTGCTCCTGCAGACAGGGCCACCTGCAAAGACAAAAGTGACATTATTCCCCCTTATTCTGCAGCAGCGACACTTCCCCTCTATTCAGCACTGGGGAGGCCACATCTGGAGTCCAGTTTTGGGCCCCCCGCTACAGAAAGGATGTGGACAAGTTGGAAAGAGTCCAGCGGAGGGCAACAAAAATGGTTGTGGGGCTGGGGGGCAGGACGTGGGAGGAGGGGCTGAGGGAACTGGGCTGATTTAGTCTGCAGAAGAGAAGACCAAGGGGGATTGAATAGCAGCCTTCACCACCCTGCAGCGGGGCTACAAAGAGGATGGAGCTGGACTGATCTCAGTGGGGGCAGATGACAGAACAAGGAGCAATGGGCTCCAGTTGCAGCAAGGGAAGTTGAAGTTAAATATTAGGAAAAACTCTCTCACTGGGAGGGTGGTGAAGCACTGGAACAGGTTACCCAGAGAGGTGGTGGCATCTCCATCCTTGGAGGTTGTTTAAGCCCCAGCTAGACAAAGCCTTGGCTGGGATAATGTAGTTGGGGCTGGTCCTGCTTGGTGCGGGGGGCTGGACTAGATGCGACCTCCTGAAGTTCCTCATTTCCTATGACATCTCGTGTTTGCAGCTGCCAGCTGCCCCAAGCCTCATGCTGAAGGCTAAACAGGTCCTGCTCTTTGGGGCAGCAGACTCCATGGGGTAGTAGAAAATAGCCATGTTTTTTTTGAGAGGACAGATATATCTGCCAGCATTAACTATAAGAAGCTCTTCCAAGAACAGATCCTGAGGCTTCTTTACTAAAACAGGCAAGGGCCAGAGGCAGCTGAAGAGAGGAAACATCACTGTTTACATGAAATGCTTTCTCCCTCCACCAGCTCAGGGCAAGGGCCCAGTTGTTCCTGGTTTTGCCAAAATCACAAGTCACAAGAACCATACCTGCTGCCTCTTGGCTTCCTCTCGTTCCTTCCCTTTGGGCTGTCTCATGCCAGGTGGAGCAGAAGCAGGGGCTTTCCAGTAGCCAGAAGAGGAAGAAGAAATATGCTTAGCACTTATGGGCCTTGTTGGCAACCTAGGACTCGCATCGACCCAGCACTTTTTCCTAGCCTCAGCTTGAGTGCTGAACTTCAAAAGCAATGACACGTTCTTTGGGGCACTTCCTTTCCTGGGATAGTCATCCTCCATAAACACCTGAACCATGAGAACAAAGTCATATTTCAGAGTTAAAACTCCTTAAAGATTTCCCCATCTTCCTTTCCATTGCTGTATCCTTCCCCCCACCCCATTCTACCTGCTGGGCCGCACTACCAGAGGAGCAAGCAGTGTTGTAAATTCAAGCAGCTTTCCCTCCCGGTGGCTCTTGTGCTGAAATCATTCAGCTTACCTTGAGACATGGCTGCCAATGGCAGAACTTGTGATAACTTCAGCATGAAAAGCCCTGGACTGTTATCACATGATAAACTACCACCTTCTATATAAATTCAGCAAGGGCTCCAACCCCGAACCTGTCTGCAAAGCATCAGGAGAAGAACACGGTGCATTTGCAAAGCATACCACGAACCTATACTGGGATCCCACAGTTCAGGTGCTTCAGGTGTGAGACCTGGAGGATTCTGGGCATTGGCATGCAAGATCAGAGCAGTGACTCAAGGCCCCCCAGTTTCACTCCAGGTTTGCTGCAGTGACCCATGAACAGCTGTGCCTCATGCCAGAGCACAGCTGTCCTCACATGCAAGAGACAAAACTTCCTCTGTGCTTCCTCCAACTAGAAAACTACCATGTTATCTATTGGAAACACAGACTCTTGTACTTTAAAATACTTGCTTTAGAATGGCTGGAGAACTATTAGCATTCACATTCAGCACTCTTCACCTGGGCCCTGGGCTACATCTATCCAGAACCACAAAACCACTGCAAAATCCACCAGACGTGTCCTACCCCAGGAAAGGATGAAAACAATAAGAGCAGGGACAAGATAAGCCAGGACTGAAGACCATCAAGACAGCAGCAGACCCAGGTTCCAGGTATCTTTAGTTCTTAACTTTGATGACCAGCAAACTGAAAAAGTTGTTATTTTTCTAATATATTCCCTAAACCAGCGATGCAGCTCTGACTCATTGTGCCTGATATCCCCTAGTTCACATCTGCCCTCCCTCACTAATAACTGGAAACTGAATTGGACACATGGCAGCAGTGTATTGCATAGGGAGTTAGCCAGCCGTCCTTAAACTTACTCTGTTTGGCATCAGGGTCAAAGGACTCTGGGATGCATTAAACCTGCAGAATGCCCGTCCTGAGTCTATGTTCCAGATCACTACATCTCCATCACACGAAGCAGTAACCAAGAGCTTGTTGTTGTGCATGTCCATAGAAAAGATATCTTCCGAGTGGTAGCATTTCCAGTGCTTGTGTTCAAATACTTCACCTGCTTTGCCATCTCTAGTAAGAAAGATTAAACCGTATCATCCCTAAGACTATAATCCTCATTCAGACATTGTCTGTATAAAGTATACTGTACTCAAATTTAGAGTTACCAAGCCACCAATGGGAATGAAGGACATAGACTTTTACACTGGAGGGCATAACCCATGCCCACTTCTTACTTACAGATACCATGCAACTCTTTTACTCCACCCAGACACATATATCTTCCGGTTGATGTACAGAATCCCACTGATCTATGAGACAGACACAGAAACAGTGTTACAGCACAGCAGCACTTAGAAGACATTGGCCCACACATGCAAGCCCCAGATTTGTGCACATTTTAACTGCCCACCTATTTACCCCGTGTCAAGGTCACCCAAATGACGGGCGTTCACAGGCACAGTCAATGCACCAGCAGTGCCTGCCTTCCCAAAAGAAAAGCAGCTCACTGGTAACTCCGTTTGGAAGCGTCTCCTCCCTCTTCCTCAGCCTTGCACAAAGCACACCATTATGTTATTGCCCCTGCTTCCTGGCAGGCTGAGCCAGAGCTTAATGAAATAGTGCTTCCCTCTGAGGATGGGGTACAATAGACCTGACAAGGGCTAATAAAGCACCTCTCCTCCCTCTCACAAATTGCTGACCTCAGTCTTATCCAAGCAAGGCAGCTCGAGGAGACAGTCCCCGTTATTGAAGTTCCAGAACTTGATCGTTCCATCTTTCAAGCCAGTGATGAGACGTCTCTCTGCACCGTCAAAAGCCATGGCCGTGACTTCTGTCTGCTTCCCCTCCGAGGCCTTAAACTGCATCATCTTTTGCCCAGTCATGATATCCCAGACTCTGACCACGCCACTGTAGCAACCGCTGACCACCTGGACAGAACACCAGGAAAAAGGGCACGCCATCTTTCGATCAAGCTCCTGGGCATTTCTATGCCACAAGAAGTACAAAGCAAAGAGATCGGTACATTACAGATGCGGAAATGTTATCACCGCTGTCTATTAGCGACCAGAGAGATCAAGCCAGTGCGTTGCACAGGTTTACTCCTTGCACTTGCCTGCTGGAAGTTCTTGTTATACAATGCTGCACACAGAGGCTGGTCATGGGATGTGACTTCTGAACCACTGCCCTCCATTAATTCTGCAGCAGCATAGAGGATGCCAATCTGGATGGAAACAGGTAAAAGTCATGTGCTGCAAATAAACACTCTGCAAGTTGTGGCTTTCTTAAATGACCAGCCTTTCTGCAGACATCAGGCAGGGTGTTGGACTAGATGACCTCCGGAGGTCCCTTGTAGCCCTAATTCTCACTTCTCTTCTCTATGATACATCTAAATGTCCTGCCTTTTAGAGCTGGCACAGCTAGAACTGAGGTTGCAGCAGTGGAAGTTGTCAGTGTGTACCTTCAGACAGCTGCCCCCAGTCATTCATAACTTGGCTGAGTGCTCAAATGACTTGATCTGGGCTTCTGAACACAGCTGTTTAAATACTTTTAACCCATGCAGATTGAGTCTGGGATCAGAAACTCCTACTGAACCAAAATCCAATATGCATTAATACCACTGCCATGATCTCCAGTGTTTAGTTAAAGCACAGACAAGGCAGGACCTTAAAAACATCCAAATGCATGCACCCCACCTATCCTTGCTTCAGTAGGTACTAAGCCCCACATAGGAAGCATGCAGAACTGCAATCCCAGGGGACTAGTTTAGATGACCCAAGGGTGCTGCTCAGTCTCGTCTGCAAAGGACTCACCAATTAGTAGTGGGCGATGTGTTAATAGGAGAAAATCATCATCCCCAAAACACTGTCCCGTTCATGAGAGAAGCAGCACTGTACATTACACAAACAACTCACGGAGGTGGTAGTGCAGATGAGGACGTTGTTTAACTCATTGTAATAGACACCAATGATAGGACAGTTCCCTAACGAGATACTTCTGCTAGGAATGGACTGCAGACAGAAGTGATCCAGCAGGTCCCAAATACGGATATTCTGGAGAACACAAGGCAAAAGCCAGAAGTCAGAGGGATGGAGACATTTGTAAAGCATGCGATGGCTTGTGCTGATTATCTGCTCAAACCAAAGGTAATAAATCCTTTCCAGGTGCTCCAGCCAATCTCCCAAACACATTTGTAGTCACCACATATTTCTAACTGAGTTTTGTTCACTGCAGTACCCAAAGGATGGAGGTAAAGGACCTATCAGATAGAGACAGCTCTCCCCTGGGTAACTGTTTTGGCTGCAGATTCCAGAGAAGTCAGAATTAAAGAATGAAGCTGCACTAGCTTTACATGAAAGTAGCAGCTCCATGAACCTCATCCAAATCCAATTCGTCACTCAGACACAGCAGTCCCTGCATGCCCTGGACTCGCATAACCATCATTTATTATGTAGAACTGGTACTTCGACAGCAAAGTCCTCCCTGTCCCCCAGCAAAGCGAGACAGGGCTGTAGATGCAACAAGCCATTCATACCTTATCTTTTGAGATGCTGAGGATAGTGTTTCTGTACCCGCTCACTATCACGTGAGTCACTGCAGTAACGTGGCCTTTCATCATGGTTATGGGGCTGTTGGTAACGTAGGGGTTCCAGATTCTAATCAGTGGATCCAGTCCCCCAGTCACTAGAGTGAAGAAAACACGTTAGTTGCACAGAAAGGTAATGGGGCCTCTCCCTTCTCCACCGTCCCATGAAGGAAAAGCTGGAACTATACATCAAAACATGCACGGGGCCCTGAGCTGACCCTGCTCCCTGTTCCAGTTCAAAGTAGCCGCCCCTTGCAACCATGTTGGTAATAGCAGGTCCGGTGCAAAAGCACAAAATCAGGATCAGGGTAGGTGGGTTGCAAACTTTGTATGTTTGGCTCCAATCTTTACAGGACAGTTATTTGAGGCTCATTTCACTGCAATTCTGCAACAGGACACAGCAATATTCTGTATCTCCGACCTGAAACAATTATTCTAAAACTGCCTCAGAGATGCAAACAGAGTCTGAGAAATAAACTTAATGCACCTTTGTTTCATCTACGCTGCAAATACAAGGATGGGGGTTAGACTGCCAGCTGCCTAATATTTCCCTGGGGATTATGATGTAGGGAAATGGCAGGAACATGCTGCTTTGTTAGTATCTTCAGTGACAATTGAGATAGCAATGACAAACAGCAGAAGAAAGCAGCAAATCCTTGTTGCCTATGCTCCACTGAAGCCCTATTTTGAGAGTGACCATAGGACTTAAATGGTATATAGGTCTTGTGCCAGTCTCTACAATGGCGTTGCGTTGACTCATAATGGAAACGGTTCAGCTCTCCAACTACGAGGGCACAGCTATTAAAGTAACTAGTTTATGTTGTTTTCTTCAATGGTTGCTTAAAACATGGCTCCCCATAGTCAAACATGTTTCTGGACCTTGTCCTTTCTCATAGGGGTCTAACACAGCAATTAGAGGCGAGCATGACATCAGCTGCTGGGTGAAAGAGGAGCCATGATGAACTTACCGAGAACATTCATCCTGGGGGAATAGTCGAAGCAGAGAATGCCTTTCTTTAAAGCAATGGCAGATGATCTACAAAGCAGAGAGAACAGAAACTAGGCACTCTCACAGAAGAGCTTTAAATGGTCCTTTTAAAAATGTGTTGCAAATGTGGTGGTAAGCCTATGGAGGGCATGTCTTTGTTTGCTTCTAGGACACTGCCGATCAATTAAGCAGGGGAGATGGAGGCAGAGCAGTGTCGACAGAGAACAGGTTGGAGTTAGAACAAAAGAAGGAAAGAGAGAAAAAGAGCAGAGAGACTCTTAAAATTAGCCAGACTCTATAGCTAATCCCAACCCTGGGCTCAGACTGAAACCTCTGATATCAGTACGCCCAGACTTCAAAAAAGTTCCCATGCAAAGAGGGCAGCTCAAAGCCATCTTGAGGAAAAAACAGTGAAGGATGAGAAGGGACCAGCTTCTTGGATCTCCATGTTTCTTGTCCTCCCCACCCCTAAGCCTGTTCACGAATAGGGCCAGAAAGGGAGGCAGCCCCATGGCCTGACTGTCAGGACTCTTGCACTGCAATGGCCAAGGCAGCGCTGAGCCTCCCCTTTCGGAGGCTGGTGCACAGGTTTTGTTGCATGCCCCTGGTCTTCACTAGGCAATCGGACTAACCTGTAACCAGAACGTAGCACTGCACCACCCGCGTGCCATCCCTGTAGCTGAGCAAACATGAGGGAAAGACAATGCTGCCACAAGAGGAGAGAGGGGAAGCATGGGACAGAGGTGATGGGGTCACAACACTATTAGGAGGAAGAGAAGGAAAGCAGAAAGCAAGAAAAGGACTGAAGAGACAGCATCGCTGCGCGTGTGCCCTGATGGGAGCTGCCTGCTGATAGAGGAAAGGCAACTTCCCCTTTGCCCACTCGCTGGGCTAGAACAAGTCAGGACAAGGGCTGGCTACAGATGGTTTATAGCCCAAGAACAGAAGGCCATAACAGAGGAACGGCCTGTCAGGCCAAGCAATAACACCTGCAGGGAGGCACCAGACCTCACAGAGACATCGTTGTCCAAAGGGATAATTTCTGAGTGGGAAATGAAACCAGGATCTGGACCACAACCTGTTATTTTACAGTCCTCTGTGCACCCCCAGGTGCTGCCCGGACCCAGGGCTTAGCAAGTCACCCCCTGCCAGCAGTCAGTTCAGTGACACCCTCCAGTGCAGGTCCGTGTGCTGTCATCTGGAAAGGGAGCTGGAGTGTCATGTATAAACATTAGACCACCTCCAGCAAATGGCTTATTTAATCAGTAAAAGGTAGGGCAGATTTGCACCTTATAAGGTGCAAATTTACCCTGCTTTCTACTGGACTAACACAACTACTGCCTTTTTACGGAACAAGTAACCTGACTGGAAGACCAACCTGGGTCAGTCAGAGAGCACACAATAGTTTACAAGTCACTCACAGCCTGAAGTTGATTCATACTAAACTTTCATCCAAATAGAAAAACAGAACAAACCGCAGATCTGACCCAGGCAGCACCTGACAAATAACTCTTTCAACCAGCTTTGCTTGTGCATCTCCCATTGGTGAACAAATGGGTAAAATAAAGCCCAACAGTACCATCTGCTGGACATGCATTAGCACAGCTTTACTCAGATCCAGTAACATCCTCTAATTCGGCCGTTTAAACCTTAATCCAAGCTGTTTTTGACTGGAGACAGACAGACAGACTAGCAAACAACCCCCTGAATTCAGAAGTGACAAACACGGGTCTAAAAGGATCATCAGAACTGCACACAAATCCACTGCTAGGACAAGCCTGGTTCAAATTCATTCAATCATAGAAAACAAGGGTTGAAAAGGACCTTAGGAGGTCACATCTAGTTTTGACCCCTGCTCCAAGCCGGACCAGCCCCAACTACATCATCCCAGCCAAGGCTTTGTTGAGTCAGGCCTTAAAAACCTCCAAGGGTGGAGATTTCACCACCTCTCTAGACAACCCGTTCCAGTACTTTACTCCCCTCCTAGTGAGAGTCAATCCACCCTCCTGAGAGTCAATCCATACTTTGGAGACCACTCTCTTTAAATTCACAGGAGTCACCGAAATCCTTTCCTTTAAACACATCTGTGATGGGGCTGCTACTAAAGGAGCAGATGTCTGAAGTAAAAACACCAGGACCAAAACAGACTGTTAAATTATACAAATTATCAACAGAGAATTCAACATTATTCTTCCCGTTGGCTCCAACGATAGATAAATTTAAATGCCCAGGTGCCGGCAGCCCACGACTGGGGCTTCAGAGTCCTGGAAGTGGTTATTTAGCATTCACATCCTTTGTTGTTCTCGAATTGTTTGGACAGGCAAAGCTGCAGATGCAGAGACCTGCAATTTGCAGACAGCAGCATTATTCAGCTTGCTCGAGAGCAAAGTGTCACATATATTGGGAAAACAGAGAGGAAACGGTGATTACCAGGGGCCGGGGGAAATTGTAGAAAGGATAAAATTGTGGATCCAAACCGTTGTCAGATGTCTCCGAGATTTATAGCAAGCCAGTTACTGAAATATGTATTTGGTCTGCTGCCAGGAAGCTGAACAGCAGCCACCGGGCACTCTGCTGCATCCACCCATTAGCTTTCAGGAGGCAGTGGCCTGCTGCCAGGGCTCGCGCTCAGAAGAGTGAAGAAGGGGGAGGGGGCGATTCAGAAACACAAAGGGGTGGGGAGCAAGATGTCCAGAGGCAGAAAGCAGTAAAGAAGAGAGAAGTGAAGGAAGAGAAAACCCAGAGGAGGAGGCGGCAGAGCAAGAGGGACCAGGAGAGCAGAAGGTGAGCAAGGGCTGCAGAGGAAGGCGTGAGAAGCAGGACGGGAATTGCACCTGGGGATGCAGCATGGGGATGCTCACCATGGGCTTGAGATGGCCTTGGAAAACAAGACTTCTCCTTGCTCAGGCTTTCAGAAACATGCCCCTACTCCGTCCCAGCTGGCTGATGGATTCGAGCGAAGCTGCATCTCTGCCTCCGCACCATTTCCCAACTATCCCCAGAGCCTCCCCAGGCATCTCCCTCCTTCCCCCTGGCAAACTGCTCCTAAAGAAACCGAATTCGCCCAAAGTCAAGAAGGCAGGGCAGAGTTGCACCTTATATACTAACCAAGGTAAGTAGGTAGATATAGACAGGTAGAGCACAAGCTTTCATGGGCTGCAGCTCACCTCAGATTATATATATCCAGCTTCTTTGGCTAGTCTATAAGGAGCAAAATTGCTCCCACACTACTCGGAAGTCCCTCTTCCCCATCCCTACTCTCTTGGAGATGGCCAGGGAACTGAAAACAAGAAGCCAGATGGGGTTTCATCTTCCTCATTGTCCACATCAGCAAATGTTGTTCCCCTCCCCTGTACAGGGAGCTTTTAGGGCAGCATGCATGATGTACTAGACACCATAGAGCGGTCCAACTCTACCAGAAAACTGGACCTGGAAGCCCAAAGGAAAACCTGAACTCAAATAGGGATGCACAGAAGAACGGTGACAGACCAGACAAACTCATGCAGGACTACCCTAATCACCACCCACTTTGGGAAGGTTGGGGTACTTTTAGCTCAGACCCATCTCGAAAATACAGAAGACAAAACACACGTCTGCCATTTTCCAGAAAGAGATGTCTTGGGTCTACCCGAACTGTCCAGTAAAGACTGTTCTGACAGCCTGGGGGAAAAAAACACTTAATTTATTTGCAGGTTACCAAACAGTGCAAGAATGATAGGCCCCTTACACACTCGCTCTGTAATTTATGTTTCCCAAACTCTGAAAGTTTGGTCCCCATAGGTTTTTCCCAGAGCTGAAGGGAATGTTAAAAAGAGGCTGACAATACGGGCTGCTACCATTGTGATGGATAATTTACAAAACAGAGACAAAGAGACCTGTCTTACTGGGGTTTACCCTGGTTATTTAGTGGAAGTGCAGTAAGCACCATGGCTCCCTTATCAGTTGCAGAACAGGAGGCAACGAGATTGAGCTCAGGAATGAACTTTATCTGGTGGCACCAGTCCTCGTGGAGAGCCTGGAAGAGAGGAGACACTGTGCTTAATGACACCGTGGGCTATAAACCAGGGCACAGGCAGAAGCACGTGCTGCTCTGCTGCAAATCTCAGGGGGTCGGCAGGGAACCCATGTGCCAATACTCCAATTTCTAGGAGCAAGGACAGCGCCGGTGAAAAGCACCGAGCAAGATGCGAAGCTGAGAAGAATGACAAATCAGGGAAAAAGGGTAACGCCGCAGAAACAGATACGTTAGGGCAGCAAATGCAGCAGAAACCCAGAGAGGAAGGGAGGAGCCACAGCACGTGCTCAGATAAATGAGGTTTTGAATAAACTGGGGTCTGCTTAGTGCCAGATGGTGTATGCACCCAGGGTCACATACAAATAACATCCTAACCCACATTTGAGAAACGGGAATATTCAGCTCAAAGGGATTCTGATAGCCAGGGAGATATCTAGGCTTTGTTTTGTTTTGTTTTTTTACATCAACTTTCCTTAATGGCTTCTCATTATGAGAAGCGGGATCTCAGTGAGGAGAGGAGAGTTTATCCCAAATAGCAGAATACTCCATCCTCAAGATTAAGTGCTCTCAGCCCAGAAGCTCCACATAGGAGTTTTCCTAAGCGGGGGGGGGGGGGGGGGGAAAAGGGAAATTTAGTCCGAAA